TTCCAAAGGCAGAAGGAAAAATGTCTTTCGTCCCACCTCCTCAAATTGCTTGGACACACCGCATCTACAATCTGATTGGTTCAGAGAGAGAACCAATCATTTTTCCTTCTGCCCGCAGAACGTTTTTGTGTAAGTAAATCTCCCATGAGATTTATGAGGGTGTCTATAATGCATTACAGATAAGAGATTCATAGAACGTCTAACCTTTTCATTTCGTACATTTGTTTCTTTGTGTTTTTCAGTACACATATTCTAAACATAAATTCTGAAACCAGGCATCTGTGTGAACAATGATTGCACTTAATATAATTTTGTTTCTTTGTGTTATCGTACTTCTCTCTCAGGAGAGTCCTTTTCTCTAATGCCAGACTCACATCGGCAGGTGTGACGTGGCTGTTCATCGCATCACCGAGACACTCATGGTCTCCAGTTGCGGGAAGGGGCCAAATCAAGGACAATAGCTTCACACTATTAAAAAAGGCAATGCAAAAACCACTGGCTGGACTGCTTGCCATCATAAAGGATGGGGGTTTTCAGAGCTTTGACCTTGCTGACATCTACACTGTCTAACCTATAGTAGCTATATTCATGGCAAACACACAGTTTGTCTGGAAAAAGACAAATTACCACACGAGCAGACGAATTGGTTTTGCTTTAACAAATGAGAATTATCACAAGTTCGTGCAAGTGATTTGTGCTGGTATTTTCCATTGTGCGAGACATTTGTATGAAAACACTGGTTCACATTTGCATACAGCAAAATGATCTGACGTCTAAAGCTGCAGTCCAGCGAGGTCCCGCTAACTGGAAATTTTGGAAGACAAATTTTTGCATAAAAGAATGCTTTGACCATTACGGCAACATTCGTGAACTCCAACGACTCACATTCACAGCATAGAAGATTCCAGAAATATCTTCCTGTTGCACATTTAACACCAAAGTGGACTACATTTACTCCTTTCTGAACAACTGTGAGGCACAACCAATCGTTATATATGGAATGCAGTGGAGACTCACTCATGAGGGATGAGTTTCCAAGGTGAGCCTTACTCTCGTGTGAGGTGTTTCCAAGACGACCAGCTTCTACTTATGACATCATGTTCAACAATTAAGCAAAAAAATAATAAAAAACTGGCTCCCAACCGGGGAGTTTTACATCGACCAATTGCTTAAGAGGTTTCAAGGATTTCCTGCACTGGCTGACGCTGGTACAGCTTATCATGCGTTAAACACAAACCTAAAAAATATGTTATTATGCAGCGGCAATTTTCACAATGACTCGACATCACGAAACTGCAGCAGTTCCTAGGTTTTGACTCCTATATCTCAATCGAGGGAGCTGAAGGAATCAGAGAAGAAAGGAATGTGATTAGTCCTCAGCATATAGTCTGTTTGCATTTCATGGGAGAATGGAAAGTGGGGATCAGCAGAATATACTTGAGGGAGTGAGGAGCAGGGATCTGGCTGCTCCGCACATCCCAAAACTGAGCTGTGTTCACACGTGTGTGTGTGTGTGTGTGTGTGTGTGTGTGTGTGTGTGTGTGTGTGTGTGTGTGTGTCAGATGGCACATATGAGTCTTCGTGGTTCCGCAGACACAGAATCCCAGGCCATGGTGCATCTGTCCTGTACGAATATCCTGCATGTCCGGGCACAGGAGTGAGCGTACGTGGATCTGCGTTTATGTGCGTCACAAGGACCGGAGTGAGCGCACGGTGCAGCCAAGCGTCTGAGCACCGACGGCAAATCACATGGCGTGCGCACACATTCATTCAGAGAAAGGGGCTGGGGTGCGTCGGTGTGTGGACACAGCAGGAGTACGGGTGCAAGCATGTCTGAGTGCATGCGTCCGTGTGCATGCGTGCGTGTGTGTGTGTGTGTGCACGTGTGTGTGCACAAGCACATGTGGGTCCATAATAAAACACTTTAAATGAAATTTTTGTAAGTAAAGAAAAAAGCAAACCATTAAGACAGGGGTGGCCAATCTTACCCACAAAGGGCCTGTATTGTATGCGGGTTTTCACTGTAGCTCCCTAATTATATTACTAATTAGAGGACTGATTGGCTAAGGAGTCCTCACACCTGGGGTTGAACAGCTGACCTACAGGTTATCCCAAAAACCTGCATACACACCAGCCCTTTGCGGATAAGACTGGCCACCGCTGCATTAAGAGACATTAAACTATCATGGTATCATTGTATTTGGTGAGGCAAAATAGTGGTTGAATTTACAAAAAAAAACAAAAAACTAGGAATTAAGCCACAGATTAAGAACAGTAAGCTTACTAACATGAAAGCTGACCTCATCCACTACATAGAACGTCTTATTCACATAATCCACAGACACACGCTGGCACAAAGAAAAACCGGCCCTTTATTTGATTCAGCAAACAGATGAGATAGGAACCCAGACTTCCTTTGTAGTTGTTTAAAATTCAGCTTAAAAATCGATGGATGTCGGAAAATGTCACAGAAGGAACCACTGGAACCAGCCTACGAATGACGCAGGCTGTCATATGACATCTTTCTCAAGGCCAAAATCGATACCTTAACAGACTGACCAGCAACGACATGGCTTCACATGCTGACTTTAATATTACACCATTGCTTATTCAGCCAAAACGCTAGCTTGAACACGGTAACCTGCAGAGCCAAAAGGTGCAAGCTATAGCCACTTATATAACTAGATATTGTAAGAGAAATTTTAAGTGAATACAGCCTCAGTGCTACAATAGAATCTACCTGAGACCTGAAACCAGTTTTAAAACCCAGCTGCATGTTGTATCCATTTTATTGCCAGTTGGAAAAAAGAAAAAAAAAAAAAACATGTTAATACCATTGATTGTTTCAATTCAAATTAAAAGCAGTCATCTTTTTAAATTTTCTGTGGCAAAGAAGCATGTCAGCATGCCAGTTAGGTCCCACATTGTGGTTTGCATATAATTTCAAGATATTGATTTTCAGAGGCCTGAGTGCACACCAAATGACATTATTCCTATATACTTCATATTTACGACCTATCCATCCACACATCTTTCTACCCCATATCCTGAGCAGGGGGTCTCCAACTCCGGTCCTGGAGAGCTACCGTCCAGTAGGTTTTCTATCATACCCGGCTTCTGATGAGCCACACCTGTTCTCAGGTAAATACCAGGAGCAGGTTTGGCTCCTCAGAAGCCAAGTGGGACAGAAAACCTACTGGATAGTAGCTCTCCAGGACCGGAGTTGGAGACCCCTGGTCTAGAGCCTACCCCATGGGGCTCAATGCCGAGGTACACCCTGGAAATGAGGCTAGTCACTATAGGCAATTTACTCAATTCAGCATGTATTTTTATGCAAAGTGACACACATTTTTGAGAAAGCAGAGTAAATCCCTGGGCCTTGCTCAGGGTCACAATGATGAAATAACCCCATTGACTCATGGAATTTGAACCAGAAACCTTCCGATCACTAGTACAGCATCCTAACCTGTTGAACCACACACCACCACAAACTAGTTTCTGGATTCTGAGGGGAAACCAGAGTACCGGAGAAAACGCACACGGCACGGGGATAACATGCAAACTGCACAGACCCAGAAGAGGAGAGATTCCGCGCCCGATCCTGAAGGTGTGAGGCAAGACGACCGTACACGAAGCACTGAGCCAACCCTCTGCTCTCAGCGTTATACCACTTTCATTGTCATTGTTAGGCTGCATATGAAGCATCGCCCACTTAGCATTAAACCACCCTTAAGTACAGTTTTGGACCCAATTTCCTAGAAATCATTTTCTTACAACAAACGCTGTTACGCATTCAAAATAGAAAGGTCTCACCATAATCGGCAGACCAGGATGATGCATGTTATTTATTTACTGCAGAAATCATTACCGTGGGGAGTAAAGGCAACATTTTCAGCTTAGCTAAAGGTAACATGGCCATGCTCATGGCAGACTGACAAAACTAAAGCGACTGGTGCCGACTGAGGGGTGCCAGCCTTGTTTACACAACAGCAGCGCCAGACATGAAACCAGTCTGTGTTTAACACGGATAAAAGCCTATATTTACTTTGCAACAGAATAAAAACGCATTTTATTTTTAAAAACGAAAATTATATAAATGCAGAACATATAAAACCGAATTATATGGTATATATGTACTTTTATTCATTTTCAGATTTAACTGAGTGAAATTAATTTGGATTTTTAATATATTTGTGCATATATGTATACCAATACTGGATTATTATTATTATAAGCTTGTATTAAGGTCGAATGAAATGAGAGTTTGCAAGAAAACTACACAGAAGTTATATAGAAAGAAAATTTTAGTGTCAGCTTGTAATTTGCTCTTTTACCCAACAATCCTAGTGGCCAGTTTCTGGTTTCAGACTCGCTGGTCAACATACACAGTTCATCTCAACTTCACTCAAACAACATTCGACCAACAACATTCCCATCGATGGGAAAACCTCAGCAGAAAAGGGCGAAAGGCTTCTGATTAACTTCAGTTTCCTGCTCGGATGTCTCTCTGCCGTCTTACAAAGGATTCAGCAAACAGTTCCGACACACATGTATCCCCTTATTTCGTATATAGAGCGCATCACCATCACAGACGTGACATTTAGAAACGGAATAGCTGCAGCCCCTGGTTTCTTATTTCCCAGCAACTGCCAAGTGGAAAATGCAGACAGCATAAGAACATCTGTTTATCTGGGGAGCCAGGAGCCCCCACGCTGGTACGCGGCTCGCTTTCCGACACACAGACTAGTAACTAAATGAAACTGCTAAAACATACCCAACAACATTTTTTCCCCACCTAAGATAACAAGGACTTGGCTATTGCAAAAAAAAAATTACGCGGTTATAACTTTAATCTCTTCCAGTAAACAGTCCTGAGCTTATTCCGTGAAGGAGGGGGGAAGAAGTGCTGGAGAATCGCAGAGATGTGCGCAGGAGCCGCCGCAGAAAAGGAAGCGAAGGTTACTCAGGCTGGCTTTCCAGAAGCACATCATCGCACCCACCTTATCGCAGAAGTTGTCAGTGGCGAAACGCGCGCCGAGCGAGTCCGCGTCGCCGCAGCCGGGGACGGGGCGCTAGGAGCGGGGCGCTAGCAGCGGGACGCGGGCATTCTGCCGAGCCGGCGCTCCGCTTCCTCAAATATCCCTTCGAATCGTTTCTCTCTATTCAGTCATATCCTTCAAAGTGCCTCTTTTCTCACCGCACTGAAGTATCCTTGCTCGTCGCGGCGAATCTCAGTTTTATTTGTCACCCTGTTTCAGGAGCGAAATGTGGGGAAAAAAAACGTTTCTCCGCTTCTGTTGCGATTATTGAGACCAAATAATGAAGCGCCACCTGGTGGCAGACATTCGCCATGCGCGCCAAGCTGCACGCAATCAGCGAAAATGTGGCTGCAGTTTAATATTTGCTGCCTTCTGAGGACGTTCTCTCTAATAAATAAAAAAGTAAACAGACGGACCCTGTCCTTGTGTTTTTTTATTTTTATCTAAGGTATGCATATATTTTTTTCTCGTAACGGTTTTGAAGCAAAAAAAAAAACTTGGAGGGTACTAGTCCTTTAAGTAAAGATCATGAACATTACATCTGCATCTGGTATTTGTTTTCCTGCTGTTGTGTCGGCAGTTAAATCTCATTACTGTACACCCTAGTGCATATTGGTGTGAACCTTAGTGTGAACAGTGGTCTTAGGGTAAAGTTCAGTTCTGCAGAAGGAAGATTCATCCAAAACATCGGTCCAAGTATGAGTTTTTTTTTCCGTTGTACTTTAAGCACCCAGATTTGTTTTAGTTAGGCCCACTTGAATCAGCAAATTTGGATGTGCTTAACTCTGGCCTTTTTCTAGATGATGAATATTTTGACCTGTGATCCCATTCGATATTGTTAAAAATTAACAATTAAGTTATAGTATTACTTCAAATAATTAAAATAATGCAGTATAAATTACTATTGTAGTATCACCATTAATTTGATATTTAAGTGAATTTCTTCAAAAAAATCAATACAAATTTGTATTTTTTTTTCTTACAAAGAACCATTCTTTTTCCCATCAAAGTTGCCGCGTAACAAAGAATAAACAAGCTACATTGTTGACTGGAATTATAGTTTGCAGTTATTACACAATATTTTTAAAAAGTATAACCCCTACAATAATATAAGATAAAACTTTATCTGCAGGCAAATTATTGACTGTCTACCCAAACCACTTAAGTAAGAAAACCTTACAGAAGTCTTAAATGTATGAAAATAAATGTATCTATGACAATGGGGTCATACACAATTAAAAGAAGCCAACTTCTCATGTAAACAGTCAGTTTATATTTCTTACCAGTCTCATTTTATTCCATAAATAAAAGTTTGAATAAAGTAAAACAATATACAACCTTAAATGACTGAAATGGTTCAATCACTTATCTAGATGGACAATAAGGAGAACTGAATTCATTGTTATTGTCTATTTAGAGAAAGCCTTTATCAAAGATTTGTGTGTGTGTGTGTGTGTGTGTGTCCAAGACTTTACACAAAACCAATAGTATGGGCTATAGCATTATATTTTATATTTTTATGTGTGATGGGAAAATTATTGCTGCTAGTGTGTTCTACACAGGGCTGGAAATTAAGTTCACCCACTCGCTGAGGCGAGTACATAAACACTGACCACTAGCTCACTGGTAGTAAAAAAAAAACTGTATCTGTATGCCCAAATATATTATTTTCCTGAACAGGTCAGCTGGCTAGTAACAAACTTTCTTAAGCTCCAACCCAGGCTGCAGAATATATTTTCTATACTTTAAAGATTTTCATTGGAGCTACTTACTGTTTGCATATGGAAGTCTGAGTTCCAGCCAAGCAAGCTGCCTTGGTCTTGAGCGGCGGGGAAGCCTCTTTCTTCTGAAGATGCATCCTCTGCCTTCCATGTCACTTTCACCATCAGCCGCCTCCGGTTTTTACAAGACTTAACACAGGATGTTATCTAGTCAGTTCTTGGAAAGTGAAATCTGGAAAATTCTAAAAGGAAGCGGTGTGTTGAAGAAGAGCACTGCTACTGCTATTGCTACTGTGGTTGTCTGTGTTGCCCTATAGCGTGACGCGTAACTCTATCAGTCAGCCTGCTCAGCTCATATATTGGATGCTTACTTAGTCTTCTTCGCTATAGCCAGAGAACAGAAACTTAAAAATGCATTTCCCCTTAACTGAGACAAAACAATTATACTGTTTCCTGGAATTCTGTTAAAATGATAACATGCTTGACACATCTGGGACATTGAAGGAATCTACAGACCCTGGACCCTGGACATCTACAGACCCTGGACCCTGGACATCTACAGACCCTGGACCATGGTTTTGTGGTCATATTACTTTACTGGGAATGATTGTGGCAAAGATTTCCTGCTGCACACTTATCACTAAGCAACCACTTGTAATACCCAGCTGTCTTTAAATGAACCTGGCAATGTTCCTGTTAACATGCTGCAGAGCCCAGGTACCACCAACAGTGGGGTAAGCTGCTGCCTGTTTTCCACTGAAAAGGGGGGGGGGGCATCGGGACGATTTATCCGCTTGCCGCCCCCAGCACACTATTTCACGAGATCTCTCATGCACCTGTGAGTCACTGGCTGTTGGCGATTAGTGATACATTGATGGTCTCATCTCAGCAGTCTGGTAGGAGAGAAGTGAAGGCAACTGAACAGAGACCACTTGCTGACCCTGGAAGGCACAAGGCTGTTGTGCGCAAAATAAAACGATTATATTTTACAGTAACTGAAATCCGGGTGAAAAACTGACCATCCGTATACAGGCAGTCTCTGGGTCAGAAACGTCCAACTTATGGACAACTCATACTTATGAAGAAATTGCCACAAAGTGCATTATATTAAAAACCCACGTTAAATGAAATGGTTTGTGATAATTAATGAACACATGCGCTACTTTGTGACACTTCTGAAGATATTGTGCCGCTTCAGTGGCTCGTCGGCTCGAGATACAGTACAGTACCGTGTGTAGTTACTTTTACTATTGCTGTAAAAATATTATTTTTATTATAATTATTACTATTTTTCTGACTACAAATTTGACATAAAGACAGACTTATGGAAAGGATCTTGTTTGGAACTTGGCGACTGCCTGCACACGTGCCTTGTACGCCCCCCCCCAGGCAGCATTGGGAGAGGGCAGGAGAACACGCTGAGCAAAATGCCGGTCTCCTCCAAAGTAAACACACACATTATGGACAGCTTATAAATACCAATGCATATAACTACACAAAATCAGGATACCTAGACAAATCTGGCATAACACAGGGGAACCATGCAAACTGCACACATAGAGTAGGGGTGGCACTTGAATCTTCAGTGCTGGAAGCATATGGGAGCAAGTCTATCCACTGAGCCTATATGTTAGCAGTAGATGATACTCAATTTGAAATGCATTTACCTTACTATCTGGAGAACATAATTTAATGCTTTATTTCAACACTGATAAGTATTTAATAACAATGTAAATTGATTCAGATTTAATAGATTGATAATTCCACATTGTTCTGTTTTTTTTTTAAACATATCTGTTAAAAAAAAATAAAAATAAAGCTGTTTCCCAATGTTCTGATAGGACCTACTAGTAATTAACAGATGCCATGAAGAGATTCATTGATTAATTTTTTCTCAGTGCCTAATCTGTAATACAAAACAATGTTTTCTAATTAACGTTACAGAAGCCTGTTACTGGTGTTCTGAACCCTAATGGATGAGAAGCTTGGGAGATAATGAGGCGTACTCACACTCCTGCTCACTTCCTGTGCCAGATCTGCAAACAAGGGCTCGCACAAGCACTGGACTGTGGGTGCTGTACCGCTGACCCTCTGCCGCTGCAGAGTCTTCTCCCACCACAGCAGAATGACTGGAATGAGTCTGTCCATGCTTAGCTGAGGACAGCTATTATTTATTCTTCTCTTCACTTCCAGGGCTCTGAAATGTACATGGGTTTATCTACAAAGCAATGGCTCAAGACTGAGCTATTTTTCAAAACAAAAAACACAGAACCTGTATGATGGCATACTGGCTCGGTGGGTAGTATTGTTGTCTGAAATCCTTCCGTCTGTGTGGAATTTCCATTTTCTCAAGGTCACCTTCTGGCTGAGCTTTGTCACAACTATGCCCTTGTGCTTCACGGGGGGTACACCTGGCATCCTAACCAAGATGTACCTCTGCCACATGCCCTGTGGCACGTAGGAGAGGTTCCAGGCTCGATAACCAGAATAAATGGCTGGAAAAGGGATGGACATAAATATGTATACATTCTCTGTTGGACACTTTGGTTATAAATAAGCGTTGAATGACAAGCTAAAGAATGGAACAAATTTGCAATAAATCAGGAGAACTGCAAGGAAAAATTTTGCGCACACCTGTTTAAGTAAAAACTAGGGAGTAAAAAGTAGGACTGAAGATGTATTTAGCTTTACTCTCACAAGACGAGAGATCTTCTCTGCCTCGGAACAAGCAAGTCACAATAACATTCTGCTGTGGAAAGGGGTGGACTTCTGTCTGGGGAGAGAGCGGCAGGTTATTACAGTTAACAGTAAACATTTTCAGAAAAATGCCCATCTGCCATATTTAATATAAATTCCTATACATATAAGACCAGGTTGTTGGACTCTGTTACAGAGAGACGTCACGGTGGCAATACCCTCCCAACACAGCACTGCTTTAGCTTGTCTTTTGAACTAGTGATAGATCCACCCTCCCCCTGGCCCAGTCTGTTTTTGAAGTGGGGGAATTTTAAAATAGACTCCCAAGGTCACACAGTTGGTCTATGCTTGAGAATTTCCACACAGACGGTTTTTCAGTGTTAACAGAAGCATCCCGTTAGGTTACAAGAATGTCTAAATTTATCACTATAGTGACTCTATATGATTGTATATGACAACATTGTAGAGCACTCATTATTACGGCTGAAAAAGTGATGAGTCAATCAAAAGTATTGGCATTACAATCGTGAATCATGAATAAATTATTTAAAATTGAGAATAGATCAGGAATGCTGGTGTAAATTAAGAAAAATCATGAAATACATTTTATGGCAAGAAGGAGCATGCTAAGGGTTACTGTATAAAAACATTACTAGGGATTAGATAGGCTTTTACCAATACATGTACTGGACCCTCGCAAGCTGAACTGGGACATATCATGCTTAAAAACAAACCACATTAAAAACATGGCTTCCCAGGAGTAGGGCTCATAAACAATCCATTTAATCCTGGGATTTCCCCAAACCCCTGATTGGCTAATATTTGCTCAAACACTTGGGAAGAAGTTTGGGGTCGAAGAAATGGTAAATTCCAGTTCACATTAAGATCCTGGGTATGACGTTAAACCACAT